TAGATGTTACAAAATAAAATATTAGATAAATTTCAATCTACTATGTCGAAGCCAAATTCTAATAATGAACCACTTGAAAATATTTAAAACTACGTCACTCAAAATTCATATCGTGATGGAGTTTTGAAAAATATCCTATTTCTGTTATTAATGTCATATATCCAGATTTGTCTACTTGAGATATTTGTCTCGCCCAAACAAAATCATTTTTTGCGTTTTTATATTGATGAATGTCTAAAATTTGCGACAAGATTTACTAAACTTTGGACCATTTTTTGAATAACGTCAAGTGTTATTGACTTGGTGAAAAATTTATTTGCAATAATGCGTGAGAACCAGTTGTTTTTTGTCTGTCAGATATGATATCACAATGCATTTACTGTCACGGATTGTTCGTAAATAATCGAATTAAACTTTGACATAAGGCGAGGGGTTGCGAGCAGTTTGCCTCAGCCGCACCTGCACTTGAGAATTTAGAATACAGCTGCCTGATTGGGTAACCGAACCACAATGTGGCTCTGGGTGAAGGGTAAAACAAAGAAAATCGTCAAAGCTCTGTCTCTAGGTCAAAATTATAGCCAATTCCACCAAACCAGGCCATAAATGAATGATGCATTTATTACAGTCTCAAACATGGTTCGCATTTTCTCTAGAACTATTTCTTATATCTCGAAAGGCGCAAGAAAAGGCAAAATGCCAAACCACAACCCCCGTTAAAGGATTTGGTGGTTGGGAGCAATCACCCCTAAATAGGCAACCATGGTCTACCGCCTTTTCCTTAAGAAATGTTATATTCGGCCTAGTATTATTCAATATTATATCGATACTCCTTCCTTCACCAAAGGTTCGCAAAATATAACTTATGCTTATACAAAATACAAAAAAATCAGCTTTGATTTCGATATAAATCCTCTGCTTAGATAAACTCATTATGATCTAATGTTACTGCATGAGAAAATTGACAATAAGCTTCTTCACATGCAATATTGTAATATATACGATTGATCTATGATAAGGAATATTGTGAGATTAACTCAGAGTGTTGATTTGGCAGAAAAATGTTTATTTTGGCAAGACTTGAGTGGGTTTTTTGTTTGTTAGCGCAAACACATAAATTATTTCATTCGACTATTTTTCTATATACCCCATTTCTATAAAAGCGCCAGAACCCACTCCTGGACAGCCAGTCAACGACATCAAGTTCAAAAACGATAATCCTTGTAGTTGTTACTGGCGGGGGGGTATAAAAGTACGGTAAATCTGGCTACAACAAATTATTTTTGATAGTTCCTGGAATTATTAAACACTCTTTGATATCATTCGCTCCAATCAACCATTAAAACATGTTTCTTCCGGTGACCCCGATTTCACCTCAATGGCGCCATGTATCATTTTGAGATAAAGAGTGTATATTACAATAAATCAAAATTAGAACTACACCTGAGGCCTCCATGCATTAAACATTACAACAGACGAACATTTTTTGAGTCAAAAACATAAACCATGACTGAGATTTCAAAGCGAATTTAATGGCGATTAAAACTGTGATAAAAAAGTTGGTCTTTGTCGAAAATGGGTTTTCAACGTATCGTTATGCAAAGATTCTATGGAATATTCTTTGCCATTTTGAATCTTGTTAATGATAATGTTATAATGTTATTTGACTGTTGATAATGTTGTATTTCTGGTGGCAATATTTTTCCACTATTTTATTAGGATGTATACTCTGGACTTTGCTCCCAGCACTCGCTTATGTCCTCTGATAATGTCAGCGCCCACAATGTTTCGATTTTTACATCTTTTAAAAATTAGTGCTTTTCTAAAACGTAAATCCTGGTCGATTATTATTTTCACAACAAATAACCTTACCAAAAGGGCAGTGGTTTCCATGAATAATATTACTCATCCAAACACACTTTTCAAAATCGTCACATAGAATCAAGCGTTAAATTTAAACACCTGTGTAATGTTCATGCATCAATGGTGGTCTCTTTTCATATATTTGATTAATTCGGCAACAAAATATAATAGTGTGTTTAAAATCGTAAGCATTTCACGCTTTTCATAGATCTTGCGATCTTCATCGCACTCACTCAAACACCATATTTCAACTTGGGATCTGAAATTCTCATACAAATTTTATTTTTTGTGCCATCGGCTATGAAGAATATTTTTGACATAGTTGAACAAAGATTTATTAAAAGGCAATGATGATTTTTGTGATATCTTCTTATGAACCTTACGCGGCATTGCTTAAATAGCAATTTTTTGATTGTAGTATACTATATAGGCAATTAGCATTACCGGACACTATTTCCTAATGCAATGCATGTTCGATTTTATTCAGTTATTTTTGTCTTACTACATCAAAATACTTTTTAGTTATATAGTACAAATTTTTCAAATGAGAAATCTTTCAAACTGAGCACCCGGTAATGCATTATAGATGATCTATGATGTCATAAACACTTCAGAGGATATGTACTCGCTTCCCATCTGTCGATTGGAATGATGCGTGTAGGTGCATACAAGCATAATTATATATTTCTGTGTCAGATGAACTAACAGTGACGATAGGACAATAGTTGAAAAACAATGTGAAACAGCAATTTTACAACAAATATTGTGAAAACCGAACATATATATATATATATCATTTTTTATAAATTTCTCCTTTCGCCATCATTTTGCTGAAAAACGTGTCTGAGGAATGTTTACAATAGTCTATATGTCATGGGAAGTGATTTCTATTGTTACGCCATAATTTCTCCCGCGTTTTTATCCGACATTTTCTTCGTGCATTGTTACATCACAAAAGGATGCATAAAGATTCCGCCAATCAAACTTAAACATGACAAAGGGTTGTTGTTTTTTCTTCTTTCATTATTATGCTATTTATGAACTTTTTGCGGTGACCTTATATTTGAAAGAAAACTAGATAAAACCGGATGAAAGCGGTTTGCACCCACGCGAGTCTTGCAACTACTTTAAATGGTTGAATTGAAATGAAAGAAACACTGAGAAAACAAATTTAAGAAGATTATTTGAATGTACTAAATGTGTCTTCTTTGCGTCGTCTGCTAGAATTTTTCTTTTAAAAATTTATGGTCACAATTAAAAACCCACAATTAAGTTTTGCCACAAAATTCTCACAAATAAATTTTCAAGTTTTTGACATTTCACTTACAAGCGCGACCTTGTTTTGTATGGAATTTCAAACTTTTCTTTACGAGGGATTTGTGAGCAATACTCATTTCAATGAAAAACTGACGCATCGCAAGGATTTCTAATAGACATCCCGTGTATACTTCTACATATAGTTATGAAATATGAATACAACCCTCGCATTTGTGGTTCGCATATAAAGCATATAATGTTACAAAGTACATTCCGGGGTGGATCAGATTTTAAAGTCTTTTCTTTTCGAAACAAAGGTTATGCTCTAGGAATAAGCTCAAGAATTTCCCAGCATACAGTTAAATATAAACCCGAAAATTTCCTTTGGGAAAAGTGGACGCAAACACGAATATCCTCTTCGGAGTAAATGAACGATGTTGAACCTGGGTTTTGTTGTTGAAACGCAGATCGCCCGATAACCGCAAAAACCGACTTCGTTCTAATAAAATCTACTAAGACTTTAGCATTTAACATATTATATTCAATTTATGGACTATAATACAGTGTACATATAACTCATGAAGTCCACCTTACTTTGAAAACAATCCAATATTAAATTAAAGCCACAGAGACTTCGGGGCCAAATTTAATATTAGTCTTTTTTTGAAACGCAGTATTAATGTTATTAAATTTGACAATAAACCTATTGCACCTTGACCCTCAATCATATTTAATCAATCTATGGACGTTATTGCATAAGACATATAATAAACTAATTAATACAAATTCTAAAAACTTCCTAATAAATAGTTCCTGGGATATGGAAAGCTATCAGTTTCAGATATTGTATTACGGCTATATATATGTTATATATATATAATATTATATACTCTCACCCTCTTCAATTCTGAAATCAAAGTCAGATTGACATTGAGGTCAATCCCCAAAATAGTATATAAGTCTATTTTGAAATACAGTATTTTTAACCATTTATGTTTTACTTCATAACATCAACTCGGAAATGTAAATAATCAATCATGTTCAACTCTTCAAGAATGAGATCAAATTTCAATGCACGTGTGCATATGACGTCACAAACCTACTCATGTTGGTGTTGTATTCCGAATGCTACTCCATCATGTTAACGAATGAACATTTTTAGGCCTTCAATACTTCTGAGTTTGTATACGCATTTTCTTGGTTTCCTGCAATGGAATATGGCTTTAACCAGTCACTATAGGCTTCTAACAACACTTGATTAAGCGTTAAATAATTATCTTTCCCTATTGAAGCAAATTTACTCCTAATTTTAATAGTAAAATATTCAATGTTGCTATAATATTCTATAATATGGTCCGTGCCTTTGTTCAAAACAGGCTCAATCAATTTCTGTAATATTTGATTCACATGATTACGCGATGTTCCGCGAACGCTAATGTATTCAAACTTTCTAAATGTTTGTGGCAAATGTTCAAAATTATATTCAATATCCAGCAATTTCAATTTTGATACCCTGCTCCAGTTACTGTCGTTGCAGAAGATTGCAAATGTTCCATAACTTCACGCGATCACGAACTTGACTTTCTATGTCACCACAAATATGTAAGAGTGATAGTCTGTGGCAGTAGCGTAAGTTAATGTGATAAGATACCACCGATACCTCTTATAGCCTATACGTGCGTGATGGGTGAATATGTGCATAACTAAGTTGAAATATTTATATCATAACATATGTCTAGGTTGCTTATCTTACTGTCATTACTTATCTGATGCCACATTTATTTTACTTCTTATAAATTGATTTGATTAATTGTTATTTTGATATAATTTCGTTCAACTGCCCGACGAAGTGTTAATGATAATATAATTTTATTGTGTTGCAGACGACTGAACAATAACGAACTGACGATTCTGCCAGAAAATCTTTTCAGCAAGTTGAGAGCGCTCCAGAGACTGTGAGTTGCTTTTAATTTATTTCTTTATGTTTAGCAAATATGTATGAATAAGATGGTACAAGGCAAATTAATAAAGTTTGTAGCTACATTGTTGTAGTGCACTTGCACTTGTATAAAATATGACATCATGGTACTATATACGGTCTAAATCTGCGAAGTGGCATGATTACACATGATTAGAAAATATATGATATTCATATTTAAATGACTCGCCTCCTTACATGCGAAAACGTAATCTGCAAAAAAAAAACTTTCGAGAAGGCAAGGAATATTATTCGAGGTTCGTAAATTCAAGGTTTTTTCTTTATAATAATTTGCTGTTGAATGCGAAAATTAAGTCAAGGAATTCAATTTTGTTTTGCAAAAATCATTCGAGACAAAGATCACTGGTGATCTACTGTTTGTCATAACAATATCAAACTGTGACAACACAATTGCACAAGACATACCTCGATTCGGGTTATCTCCTGTCGAATATTGTTATGCATAGTGTTGGAAGTGATGTTGTTTTCAATTAGTTCAATTCATAAAAAATATTTGTTAGCTTTTGCCTCGCTATATTGATATAAAGTAGATATTTTTATATAAAGTAGTCATTTTATACCATGGAACTTTAGACGTTATTTATGATAATATTACATATAGCATAATGTAAAATTGCTTCAGACGAGCTGTCTAGGAATTCTCTCTCCAAATATATTCAGTGTATTTAAACCTGTCACCATGGAAACATAACACCATTCATTGTCGTGTCATAGCCATGGACAAATATTAAACAATCCATTCAATAAAATGAATTATGAACTAATAATAGTAATCGACCAGTACAATATACTTTATCTAATTAGGTCATCTTTAGTTACCCACGAATTTCGTTTCTCAAATAAAGTTGATGCTTTCCATAGTTAGCTTTCTCTTTACTCATACATGTTTATCTGTGTCAACGGATCACGTTCAGTTGTGTATTAATATGGGTGTAGTATTGGTGTGACTGTTGACAATAATTGCGAACAAAATCTTTCGAAACCTGCTTCGATAAATACTTTTATAACAATTTTTTAGCCAAAATTTATTTATTGACTTTCTCTGCAACATCAAAATATAAAAATGTACTTCCCAATCTTCATTATTAATGTATATAATATACAATCCTGACACGTTTTATTCGGTACTTTATAATTAATAAAGTGATAGCTACCAAAGTATATTATATATTGATAATGGTGAGGCAAAAAGTATACAGAATGTGTTTTTCTCGTATGCAAATGAAATCGTCTATATCTCAAAATTTTTGCTGTTTTTGGCTTCATATACCAATATATTATGGTTTCACGGATCATTTAGGCATCAATTTAATAGTCCGTATTGTCGTAATCTTAGTAATTTGACCAGATAAAAATGCCATTCGCATAAATCTTCCCAGGGTATATTTTTCGCGCTTTAGCGCAGACAATGTAAATAACTCTAAATTTTGCAAAATTGAGAAATCTATTCTAAATACACTTATAATGCTATAATAAGAGATGCGATATCCTGATACACCGCAAGAAAAATAAACGTTTTATTTTAAAATCAACACATCCCTTGCCCAGGCGCATTTGACCATAAATTCCAGGTATACCGTTAAAATAATAAGTTTGCTTGATAAGTCTTCTCTCATCTCTTATCGAATGACACGGCTAATTTGGATTTTATCTTTCAAAATGAGGGATATTATTCCTAAAATAAAACATCAAGATTAACTGACTTTCGCAGTAACCAAATTAGAAAATAACACTAAATGTGAGCTTAAAAATAAATTTGTAACGTGAAATAAGTTAGGGAATGAGGCATTCTGCTTTATGCATTATGGCGTAGACAGAGACAGTTTTGAAGCAATTAACAATGCTGGTAGCCAGATTCATCATCGTTTCAACTTTCTGTTACTCTTGTTTGAATGGGATTGAATATCTAGGTGAGGGGATCTTATCTGTACAAACATACTTGAACCGATTACAGACCGAAATGTCACTCTGATTAAATGATTGTAAAAATGTTAGGCATGCATGTATGTATTTATTGTTCTGGCCACCCAGAAGGGAGCATTATTAGTTTTACTATACCTCAGAAAAATTGTTGATGCGTGCATCCACGCAATTGATCCGATTACTCTGTTTGTCTGTGTTACCACCATTAAAGTGATAACGCAGAAATATTATCTATCGTTTAAACTCTAGCACTAAATCGACCAATATTCCTAAAAAATTTCCACAACTCAAAATAGTCAGAGAGCTATATATACTGGTACAAAAACCCACTTGGCCTTTGTCAAATATTAGATGATTCGTGTGAGGGAGTGGCTAACAACTGCGATCCCACCTTCAAATATCAAGCGAGACACTATGACGTAGGTGGAGAAAGATATAAAGATAGTAATATGTTTAACTGTCCAAACACAAAGTCAAACTCTACGCAAATAATAGTGAGAATCGTTTTATCTGTAATATGAATTAGAGGATTTGGTTGGAATGTTAAGGACTTCAAAAATAAACATACTATAGCGCCTTTGTGTATCACCCCAGTTCATCATATATACATGATATTTCTCGCTACTACAACACATTTTTGTCGCTTTTGGGCGATAATGCAATTGTTCTACAATCATACTCGCTGTCTATAAGGGTAAACTCACATACCCATTTTAGACCAAAATATTAAAATGTAGTAGTTTTTTTTTTCAAATCGTATACTGCAGTATTGCACGATTTATCTGGAGAAAGACAAACCGATTTTCATGAAGTCATTTGGTTCACGGTTTTCCGATTTTCACCGCATAACTTTTGAATACTCCATCAGATAACTCTCATATTTATTTTATCTTATATCACTCATTGATATTGGTTAGGTCAAGTGGTTTACGCCTACCGGTATTATTTAGGAATTTTATTGCGCGGCGTTGCGGTTCTGTCCTCCAATATTCTATGAATTGAGTATTCAATAGTTTGGAATTCTGTACGTGCTCTTGATCATGTTTAGAATTTATTGTCTGGAAGAGTTATACAATCACTATATATAACTTAGAACTCTCTGTCTATTGGGGGAATAATCGGTTAAATAGTCTTGCAATATTTAAGCCTAATCTATTTGTATGATTCACTATAGAGAAATTGACAAATCCTTTCAATATACTTCAGTCACTGTGCGGAAGTGAACTTAATATTCACGATTTGACCGTTGATCATAGAAAATATACATAGCCTCGAGTCTTGATTGTGCTAACTTTCGGATAGATTCTGGCCTGGACGAGCAATACAAACACGGTAGAGAACATAGCCTACATATATAACTTAAAAGTCTTCGTGCAATCAGAGTTTCGCAAGCTTCAAACAATCTGCATGATCACAAATAGAGAATTCTTTCCAATATCACTATGTAAAAGAAAGATATTTATGATTTAAACGTTAATTATTGAAAAGACATGTAACCTTGAGTTTCGAAAGTGCCATAATGAACTTTCGGCGCTCCAAAAGTGTGTGTACCAATATGGAGGGAACTAATTTTGATCGCCTATTTCACAAAACGTTGTGTGAAGGGACTGAAACCTATGCTCAGGGGGTATATTCACTTTGCTAACACAGACAGTCCCCGAACTCGTAATAGAACTAAAATAAGGAAAATCGAAATAAAATTATGGCCTAATTCTAACATGGTACACATACTACGGGAGTACCCAACTTTTTAAAAGCATGATCTAAAGAAAGCCTAACGAGTCACGAAAATCGTTCTTGAAATTTTCAAGTAGGCGGATGATCCTTCAAATACGTTAATCACCGTCGTTGAGTTGCCAATGAGTTCGTGTAGTAGAGTCGTCCTTGGATTAATAATATCGATCGTTTTCTCTTCAAATGAATCTTATAATTAAATAAATAATCTATCCACATTATTCGCCAAAGCGACGACGTTTTGATTCGAGTTCTGCACTCTGGGGGTCAACATAATTCCAAAGCTTCACCTTGCAATAGTTTTCTTATGTCAGCTTACAATATACGCAAGAAATAAAAGTATACATCCGAAGAAACGAAGTTTTCAATTCAAATCTTCCTCACAAACTTTGAAAATACCGAACAACCAAACACGTTTTATTGTCGATATGAAACAAAAGAAATAAACGTTATGTGTTAAGTGAAGAACCTGTATTACTATGTCGAGTTTTAGGTACAGTAGGAATAGAATGTACGCCTTTTTCTCTTCTTTTTAAAATACTTTTGACTTTTCGATGAGTTTCTTTCCCTTTGTCAATATCTGAAGAAGATCTTCAATTATATTGTCACAACAAAACAACAAAATATTTATGATGTCATATTTTGTCACAATGTACTTAAAATCGCACAAACATGTCGAAGATGTCTTCAAAATGCGCCATCTTTAATTTGCTTCCAAATTTGACCACAGAAGTACACTCTTTGTGTGCTTATGGGTCTGATTTGCCGTCGAAGGACTTGAAGGAGATGTTTGGGGAATCTCGACATCACAATTCACAATGAAAATGAGGCTTTTGGATAAGTCAAGAATATAAACGCGATTCGTTTTGACACCTCTTTCGCATATTATAATTAAAAACTTAATTTTAAAATCCGACTCAGGTCTGTCGAGCAACACGCCCTTGGATACTTCAAAATATTTACTTGATGTGCCGACTTTTATGTCTTCTAAACGCACAAATGAAGCCAGTGAATGAACGAAAATTTTTGTAACGATACTCGAATATTCCAAATGACGACGAAAGATTAATCACTTAAACAGAAGTTCGAATACTATATAATATTGTCAGATGTTTGGAGTATAGTAATTTAAGAAATTAAGAAGCTTAAGAAATTTTTGTAAAAGTCCTCAAATATTACGAATAACGCCGAAAGATTAATGACATGAAGAAGAGTTCAAATACTCTATGGCGACGTTAAATATTTCATACAAAGCAGATAAATTAATATCTTAAGAGAGGAGTTCAATTACTCTATAAT